TTCGCCGCCTTCTTGAGCTTCTTCTCCGCCGCCGCCTTGTTCTTGCCCATAAAATGGGGGTCCGGTGACAATAAACTTCACACGCAACAAATGTCTTTATTAACTGTCGACTCAACCTCTACCGACCCTGATGCCGGATACTAAGGAGAGTGCCGTCGTAATAAAAGAACACCTGAGCGATCACTAACTCAACACTAGCCGCCGTGAAAGGTCGCAACTGAACCTTCGCCTGAGCTAGATAGAGTAACCTTACAACCTACGAGCTATGCCCCTGGAAGTAAGTCCTTGTTGTCAACCAGGAAGTGCTACCAACTGTAGAGAGTTGATAACGCAGAGGAAATTGTAAACTGATTGATTGGCGTTATCTACATCTACATGCATGACTACTGTGACTATACTATATCTAATGCTATACATACGTGCGCTCTGCAGAAGGAACTTCTGGTGTCCATGGCCGAGCACGCCGCACGCCAATCGACCTTGGTCGTAAACTGACGTCAACAGTGACGTCTGTTCTGATTGGTCGATAACCCTATGACGCCACTGGAGTGACGTCGCTACATTACGGCATTTGGGGGGATCACAAGGTTCTCATCGAACCTGTGCTTCATGGTAGTTTCGATGTATTCGATCCACGTGTCGAAGTGGTGCTGCACAAATATCATGATCCCACAGCTCTTGGCAATGGTGCAAACGATATGTGCGGTCATCTCCGGACTCGGTTTTTTGGTCGTGGAAGGTATACTCGTGGTACTCGAGACTCAAGTTGGGGTCTTGTTGACTGGTCGTGGACTTCGCAAGAGTAAAGTCTTTCCCGCATAGACCAAGGACTTCACTTACAGTACTCCAGTTTGAGTTGTTCTCTTTCTTCGTTTTGAGGATGACACGCTCGTCAACCATTGCTTGACTGAAGGCCATTATTTTAGCTCGGTGTTCGCTGTCGTAGTTCGTTGGCCCAGCTTTAAACCGCTTTCCTTTGGGTGCTGTTGTTGCGCAGCGCTCCTTCCTTTCAGGCACTCTAGTCGTCTTTGCTTTGGATGCTTGATTGTCGTTGTCCATGATCCCACCGCCATAACCGATAGATACACTTGTTCACACTCGTTGACGCGTTACCTTATTTGTCGACGTCAAACATTTTACCTCGGCGTCAAACTTCTTACTGAGGCGTTGCTGTCATGCTAACATTTTGGCGTCGAACAATATAGTTCGGTGTTACGATTCGGCCTCAAACATTAAGATTCGGCGTCAAGCATTGCGATTTGGTGTCAAACATTGCGATTCGGCGTCAAACATTACGATTAGGCGTCAAACATTACGATTCGGCGTTAACTGCAAATATTAAAATTTGGCGTCAAACATTCTGGTTCGGCGTCAGTATGACACTATTTGTCTTAAACGTATGGCAGATGTACTGTACACTACATTGGGTCATTCTGTTCGTCATTGTTGCAGGGCTCTTTCCATGCAAAACTTGCTTCAGTGGCGCGGAGAGTTCGGGTTAGGACCAGGCCTTCACAACTATGGAAGAACATGTTATGGCAAATCTGTTTTCCACACCGTACCAGCCTGCCCTGACCACTCAGTTCAGCCCCCAAGACTGCCTAAGCAGGATCGTTCATGACGTCCACGTGAAAGATCCAACGAGACGCCTCAAGCCATGGCCAAACGGGTATCGAATGGACGCGTAGCACAGTCACCTAGCTGACGTCTGGCTGTCGTTTGGTGCTGGGCGAAAAAGAAGACGCGTACGAGTTTTTTTTTCAGTTCGTGACAGCCATGCCCATGTATCTACCAGCTTTCGGTGGCGAAGTGTTCAACATCGTTGAATGTAATACTTATAACACCCAAGCCAGGTAGTGCAAATGATCATTAGCTTATTAATCTAGTACTGTAGATCGTCAGAGGTGTTTCTTGACATCGACATTCCAATCACTCCAGAGGTTGTCACTGTAGAGGACAGCCTAAGAAGAGCGTTGGTGTCACCGAGTTAACAGGTGATAACTCGTACGAGTGCACCTATTGCAATCGCCGATGTCCAGCTGTGCGTACAAGTGCCATTGCAGAGTGGCCCCATGTATTAGTGCTGCATGTCCTACGCTTCGCGGTCGGTGAAAAATACACCATGAAAAAGAACGGCCAGCTCTCCAATACACATCGGAGCTGAACATGAGTGAGTTTGCATAGTGGATCACGCGGTACAGTTTAAACCACCACGATCGATAGATTACTAAAATACTTGCATAGGATATTGTGTACCAGCTTCGAGGAGTTGTCCTTCATCTGGCGAGTTCACTAACTTCGGGTCACTACATTGCGTACGTGCTGGCACCAAGTGGGCGACGATTCGGTATGGACGACAAGGTATCTATGCCAACGAATATAGCCTCGTTGCTTGCGACAAACGCATACATACTGTTTTACACGGCAAAAGAGTCCTACAAGCGCGACCCCGCACTGACTACATTACATGCTACATCTCAAGTACTGTACAAGGTACAGCACATCGACACTTATGCCATGTGCGTTCAGAACAATCTCTAGACCACGAGTCATGGCTAACAGACCCATCGTACATTTCATCACCAATGGCGCTACCACGTACGCACCACAAATTGATAATGTATATATTAATAGTAATTTTCAATGGAATAGCTAAATCGGCAGCACATCCGACGCCACGAAAACTCGTCTCAAGTCATGACGGCGCCGTTGTTGTGCAGCAAAGAATTACCCACACGATTCTCAACACCATCAATACCACCCCCCACAGCTGGCCATACATCCATCAAAGCCCCCATGAAAGTGGCCAATGCAACAACCAAGACAACCCCCAACGCAGCCCCCAACGTAGCCCCCAGCGTAGCCCCGAAAGCAACCCGCATTGTAGCCCGCAATATGACGGTCCCAAGTACAGCCCTCAAAGCACCTCACAACGTATTCCCCAACACAGTCTCCAAGGCAGCTCCCTATGTAGCACACGAAATGTTAGTGTGTCAAGTAGTTGTCGTTGTAAGATTCTATGTATTTTTTACCAGTATTGCATAATTTCTATTTAATATATTATATATCCTGTAGAATCACCGAAATCAGCATTTACTACCCCATCGGCTTCTCAGGTTCATGTGGTGGCACGTCGAAGCCTACTACGAAAAAAAAGGCAAAAATTCGTCAACAGCAACGCAAGTACGATTCAAACGAGGACGTGAAAACCGCCGTAAAGTGCTCCAGAACGAGAACGTTGCAGACGTGCATCGAATACGTTAACCTCCCAAGCGAAGTGGCGACAGAAAAACCCGGACAAGGCTCGACGCTTGCTGCATGTGCACGACACAGCAAGGGTGGACGCCTTGAAATGATTGTTGTCGTCAGTCGACATGCGCTGAATGTACTGTACCGTAGACCTAACCTCATAATAATGGCCAATCAAAACCATGTTCTTTGAAGATTTCTTGAACGTTTTCCCATAGTTTCCAATTCATCACGTGTACCACAGATTGTGGTAAGGAGCCTGAGTCATATTTGACGACTCGCCAAAAAGGCGGAGACGGTATTAAAGCTCTTTCGAAGATTCGTTGAGTTAGAATGTGAAATTGAAACATGTCGCAGCGAAGTGAAACTCACGTAAAATATTATGGCTCTTTCGAAGACCCCAAGAGTTTGAGTTCGAAACAACCCATGAGTGCCCATTACTTCCACTCAGTCAAATAAGTACACTTGGCATCAAAGTCATAGTTCTCGAATAGACAAAATTATCTTATCTTGCATCATACTTACTGTTAGAGATACAAATTTCAAGAGATATGACCTACTTAGGTGCTTACCGAATATTTTGTTCATGTTAATATTATGACTTCTCGCATACAGGTGTATGATTGAACACAAAGGCTGCAAGGGGAGCCAGCGAAGGTGTTGCTCTACCTTTCAGGTACCAGGTGACACAGTATCATCTCACACAACGCTCGGAAATGTGAATGCTTGATTAAGTCGTGTAAACCAGTATGAAGCGTCGCCAAGCATAGCTTTGCAAGGTACGGTAGCGTTTGCGGAATTATATTCTTTTCCACGTGCTGGAGTTCTGTAGTTTGATTGGTTATAAATTGCATATGACCATGACGCGCCATGTGTCACACCTGACTCCAGCGAAACTCTAACTCAAATCGTCGTTGAGACATCGGCCGACTTGTGTCAACTGGATTTGCGTTTCAAATACAGTATTTTTGCATTGGCCAATCAAATCACTGGAAAACACATGGCGAAAATCAAACTCTAGCTCAACAGGTTTTCGAAAGAGCTCTATTATGGTGTGGGGTGCTTTTTCCGGCTCCGGTGTGTCCGAGCTTGCGTTCCTGGAGGGCTCCCAAACGACCGAGAAATACGTCGACACTTTGGCGAAGTACTTTTTTCCCTTCGGCCATGAATTTTACGGTGAACAATTCACGTTAATGCAAGATGGGGACTCCATACACCGTGCACATCAAACCATGGAGTTTTTGGCCGAACATAATGTTCAGCTTTTCGACCATCCAGCCTTGTCACCGGACCTCAATCCCATAGAGAATGTTTGGGGTGTTTTTGCACGTGCAGTCTACGCAAATGGCCGGCAATTTACAGCGAAAACCGAGCTTATCCTGGCCATCAAGAGGGCGTGGTCGAATCTTGGTCGCCCCTACCTGTTGACACTTGCCAAGTCGATGCCAAATCGCTGTGTCGAGGTTATTCTGGCTCAAGGAGGGAAGATCGACTACTAGGTAGTGATTTTCTCAATAAATACATCGCGGAGTCTCTCGCTGCATTGCGCATCCAAGCTAAGGTGTTTCCTTTCAACTCCTTCACTATCCTCCAACAAGCCATCAGATCGTACGTCTCTCCTTTCTCCCTCTGGGCCCTTATGACGAGCCATGAAGCTATTACCCGCGGCCCCATGAATCTGTTTGCGAGTCTCACACAACTCAAGTACACCGAGGACATCAGTGCCAAACCCTCTTCATTACACTCGACGACCAGATCAACATGATCGAAACTGCAACCCTCCCTGGGAACGCTGACGCTCTCACGGTTCGCGAAGGCTTGGTCCCATGGATCAGTTCATACGGGGTCTTGCCGTCTCTGTTCACGTTGGGCGTGCGGTTGCGCAAGAACGCGGCCATGTGAATGGATTCGGCCCACGAGCTTGGCCGCGCGTTGGCATGGCGTAGCATCATCCGAGCCGTCACGCGTTATCAGCGTGCGATTCATGCGCCCAGCCTTGCCGTTCTGGTACTGGCGATGGGGGACACTGCGCTCGTGATGGATCCCGAAGGCTTCGAGGTACTCTTGGACGTCGGCGTTGACGAACTCCATTGCGTTGTGTGAGTGGAACGTAGTTACATAGACGCCGGTTTGGGTTTCGAGCCACGCATGGAAATGCTGCAAGCTGACCAGGACTTCATCGGCCAACTTGGTCTTGAGTGGGTAGACGGCCGTGTAGTTGGATTGACCTTCGGTGTAGGCCACAAAGTACTTGGATCCTCCCATGTTCTACACCGGCGAGGGACCCCAGGCCTTCGCATGGATGTTAGTTCCAAGGGGCTTGGACCCACGTTCACCGTAGCGTGGATGAGCAATTTCCGGCATTTCGCCACAGACACAGCCATCACAGCTGTCTGGAGATGGTAGTTTCGAGGGACCGCCGTTTGTGGCCTTGAGGATGGCCTGGGTTGGCGCCGGGGGAGGATACCCGAGCCGCGCGTGCCAGATCGAAGGTGCTTCGTTGGCCACCAAATACGCTGACTCGACATCGGCAGTGACGGAAGCAGAACCCTCGCATCGAATTCGTACAAGTTGTTGGAGGTAGTGGCTTGGATCGAGGCGCTTGGACCGACCTTGATGTCCATGTAATGCCATGAAAGACCACCCGATCTCGACGGACTTGATCACGCCGATGAGAGAGCAGTATTCGGGGTCTTGCTTGGTGATGCGCTCCAGGATCCAGTCGACCTTGGCTTGGCGGCAAGAGGTAGATGAATTCGACGATACGATCGGTTTCGGGCGTCATGACACATGGACAAATGTGGCATACGTCTCATGGGGCTTCCATGATAGGGACCAGAGCTCGCGACGGAGCAGCATATTGTTGACAATCGTGGTCTTCTCGTGGACATCCTTGAGGCGGTGCCTGGCGAGGTTCGTGTGGATGGTCGAGGGGTGTGCCTTCTCGAGGTCAGTCTCCTTGAAGTACTTGAGGTTTTTCCGGTGGACTGACAAATTTATGTACGACTTGGCCACGTAGTCGTCGTCTTCATCGTAATGCTCGAAACGGGTGCTCGACGTCAAGTACTTGCGGAGCTTTTGCTGGGAGATCTTCTGTTCGATGTGGTCGGCCCATTCGGCGTAGTTAAAGCCGTCAGCTTGAGCTTGATGCGTCTTTGACGACGTAGTGCATTGGGCTCATAACCTAATGCGATGTGGTGCAGATGTGGCCAAAAGTAAAGAAGCGTACAGGGCAAAAACAAAAGTGAGTTTATTGTGTTGGATCGAGTAAAAATCGATCTGCTCGTAAACATATGCATTTGGTTGAGACAAGAGGCAGATTGGCGGGCAAGACAGGCTTGGCAGCACATAGAGCAGCTTATGGGTAAGCCACACGACAATGGTTTTAAGGCGTGGGACAAGATCGTAGGTCTTGTAGTCTTGTAGGCGCTGGAGTTCGTATTGGGTGGCGGCTCGCCATTTGTCGCGGTCGGAACACGGCGCATCGCTCCTTTTTTAGGGTCAGAGGGTTCAGAGGGCAGGCGGGCACTGAGTAAGGCGTAGAGATGAAATGGAGGGTAGAGTGGTGGATCGAGTGGCTGCTTAGGCGTCTAGAGTGGCGGGAATGGATAAGGGTAAGGCTGTGGTGGAAGCGCAGCGAGTTCGTCAATGGAGACATTGACGAATGGTAAATGAGAGGTGGATAGACAGAACGGAGTGCCAGGTAGTGTAGGCAACGGAGTAAGTTGACGGTGATGTTGTGCAAAGAGGGTGGTAAGCGGATAAAATAGTGGCCTGCGAAAAGGTGAGCAAGTTGAAGTTCGTCGAAGGCGATAGACAGGGAGTAAACGATGGGCTGAGACAGTTGTTCGGTGGTTGGCGGTGGAGAAGATGAATGAAGTGGGGGTGAATGGCCGGGACGAGGCGGGAAGATAGAGACGACAGATGTTTATGAGGGTTAATGGATGGAATGTCGGATGCGTCACGGACACGAAGTCAAAATGCGGCTGCGGCTTGGGTGGGGTTGATGGGGGGAATTCATCTTCGTGGAAATCGACGTCACGCGAGTAGATGAGCTGGTGGGAGTAGGCATTGAGGAGCTTGTAGCCTTTGCGGTCATCGGGTAGGCCCACAAACTATACACTTGATTGCACGCGCGTCGAGTTTGTTCGTCTGGTTAGCCTTTTGGACATGGATGGACGAAGGCAGTGCAGCCAAGAGTGCGAATGTAGGCCAGAGGTGGATGGCGGGAGAAAACTCGATGATAAGGCGACTGGCCATCATTGGATGTGGAAGGCGAAATGTTGTAGAGCCAGGCGGAGTATATGACGGCTTTGGCCCACAGGAACTTGGGGAGATTACCGGTCAGTAGGAGCGCTCGCATCTTCATTGCAAGTAGACCAATGCGGCGTTCGGCCACAGCGTTCTGGGCAGACGAGTAGGCGTTGGAAAATGTAGTCTTAGTGCAGTACTTGGGGCCGATGATGCGGCCGAGTTTCTCGAATTCCTTGGCGTTATCGGCTTGTAGATTATCGATTTCAGTAGGCCGAATGTACTGGAGGGTGTTGATGTCGGACTTGAAGGTAGAGTTTATAGGCTCGTAGAGATCCTTGCGGAAGGCGAGAGGGTAAACCCAGGTAAAGCGGGAGTAGCCGTCGATGAACACGACGAAGTAGAAGCTGCCACCAATCGATGTCACCGGGCATGGGTCCCAAATATCAGTGTGTTGCGAGAAGGAGGAAGGATGAGGCGCGAAACACGACGGCGGGTGAGAAGTGTTGTCGACGGGACATCGCGAATTCGCAAGTATCACAAGTAAATGACTTGAATAAGCGTGGTCGGTCGGTGGATAAGTTGGGGTGGGTCTTGACGAGGCCCTGGAGAACGGTGGAGCATTGGTGTCGAAGTCGGTTCTGCCAAAGGCGAAAGAGAGTTTCATTAGATAGGTGTGTGTTCGATGTAGTGGAAGTGCAAGTAGAGGCGTCGCTAGTAGTGGAGTGGCAGGAAGAGGCGGGGGAGATGGAAGCGGACTGACGGCGGCGGCAACGTTGGAAGTGAGAGACAAGGCGTGGACTGAGGGGAATTTCGAAGTGCCGGATGAACAGGAAATGAGGTACGAGGCGATAGTGAAGTTGGGATGAGGCGTTGAAGTTGAAGGAGAGAATTTGGTGGCAGGTGATAAGAGAAAATGAACAGCCTTGCTTAGTGGTGACTTGGATGTGATGGGTGTAGGCGAACGTCCAAAGTTAATAATATAGATGTGCAATTGATAGATTACTTCAGAGCGCGCCGCGGCTTGGACAGTAGACTCAAGCGTAGAGATGGTAGACGGAGCAGGCGTAGCGAATTAATATGGAATGGGCTTGGTGTGCGTAACCAAGCGCAGGGTGGGCAGCGACATTGGCTTGGAAACCATGATGGCAGCTGCAACAGTGACAGGAGGATGGGATGAAGGATTACTGGTTAGGGAGTGTAGGGCTGCGCCTGGAAGGATTAAAGCCCCAAGCCGTTAACTTGAGCACGCAAGTACAGTGTAAAGGCCACGACCGATGTCCACGAGGCAGTGCGATGGATGCAGTGCGATGGATGCGAGAAGTCAAAGTGACAGTCGGCTTCGACGGATTGACGGACAGAAAGGAGGTTGAATTTTAAGGCGGGGCAATGTAAGCGAAAGGTAGAGATAGGGGCTCGTGATGAGCAGTAAGAGTGGCCGAGGTTTCGCCGGAGTGGGCGGTGACGCCAAGATCAATTAGCCCGTAGCTGAGAAAGGGAAGTCGGCCACCATCGCCGACGGCAAGGGTGAAGGATTTGTCGAGAAAGGCGGGGTGGATAAAGTAGCGACGGTGAGGAGTGCAGGAGACGGTAGCGCCAGAGTCAATGATCCATTCCTTGGAGAGTTGGGGGTAGAGCGAAGGTTCCAAGGGAAATGGGTTATTGTGAATGGGGAAGGAGACATTCAGGCAGAGAGTGTCCCAGGTGATTCCAACGTAGAAGGGAGAGTGGGTCGTCAGTGTGGAGGCGTGGGTTGGCTTTGTACTCCTTCAGTTGGAGATTGTATTTGATGAGGGGGAGAGATGGTGGTCGCGCTGTGAGATGCAGGCCAGTTTGGTGCTTGAAGAGGTGATAGGCGACACACTTGTCATAGGAAAGTTGATGAAAGGCGTCGGCGGTATTATTCGCCATCTGAGCGTTGGCGGCATCATGGATTGGACTCCAGAGGGTTTCTTCATCGGTGGAGTAGTAAGGGCGAGCAGCACGAGGAGGCGGAGGTTCACTGTAAGCACCATCACGACGGCAGAGGCGTACTAGTAGTTGTCGCTCAGGCGGATCAACGTAATTGGCAGACGCGGGAGGTCGAGTAGTGTCCTTGTTAGAGTTGGGAGATGTGCACGGAGAATGACTGCGGTATGAATGGGGTGGGGGCAAGTAGAGGGTCGTCCACCTTGGAAGAAAGAGGCGAAAGGGGGTGGGATGAAGTTTGGTTGAAATGGGGGGTTGTGGCGGGATGGCGAGTGCCCTGGTAGTAGGCCGAGCGAGAGAGTTAGACGTAGAAAAAGATAGAGGGCGTGTTATTGTGGATGAGATAGGCGAAACGGACGACTGGGTAGGTGGGGGTTGAGAGTTGGGACTGGAAAGGCGTTGGCGCTTAGCAGGTGGCGCTGATGTAGAGCGCCGAAGAAAGGCGGAGGAAGGGTGAAAAGTTTGGGATGTATCCAGCAGTGGCGGATGGGCGTGAAGGGTAGGCGCGTCGTCGTGAAGGCGATCAGTCAGCACGACGGTTGGGCGACGAACGTCTTGGATAGGAGGATTGAGGAGGTTTGGAGCGGACACGATTGTGGGTGGTGGGTGTAGCTGGTAGATAATGGAATCGAAGGTATTGATGGGACCGAGAGGAGCGACGGGAGGAACGACCTCGCTGGGTGGAATGTGGGGGCGATCGACGAGTAGAAGGACGTGGGGGCGGGCGAGAGTCGTCACGATGGCGCTTGGGGTAGCTGCTGTTGCGGCCTTGATTGTTTCCATAGTCGTCGTCGTAATCGTCGCGGTCGCGGCGATGATACTGCGAATGGTCAGCAATGATCTTGCATGACGACGCGCGTTTTCGACGACAGTGGGTGTCAACAACGTGCTTGGGAACACCGGCACGAATGCGTTTTCAGCTGTCGTCATCGCGCATGGTACGGCAGTCGGGAAGGCGGTGTTCAGGCGAACCGAAGTAGAAGCAGGAGTTGAAAGGATGCGTATGGTAATTCGAGTGTGCCCAACGTGGCAGTGACTCTAGGAAGGGGCTGCTGCTGCGGTGTAGATAGGCGGAGGTTGGTTCGTGGTAGCCGTAGCGTGCAAGGCGGTTGTGGTCGTAGAATAGCAGCGGCAACTTAGCGTCGACGGGAATCGGAATCACCATAGCCTTGATCCGACAGGATAAGAAATGGGCGTGCATTCGGAGCCACCCTCATGCGCCTTGAACTGGAGCTGGCAAACCGCATCCCACACGTCTTTGTTGGCCACGAAGGCGTTAAAGAGTATAATAGAGTTCGAAAGAGCTCGATAATCTTTGCGTGGCCCAATATTGCCAACTTGAAGGTCTTTGGCTGCCTGTGCTACCGCAAGGTGGACAACACGAACAAAATCAGCAGCTAAGCCAATATGTGCACGTTCTTGAGCTACGCGACCAACCTCAAAGCCTACAAGCTCTACGAATTGGACACCAAGAAGGTCTTGATCGCCGTCGATGTCCGTTCTTCGAGAACGCGTTCCCCAACCGTCATGCGCTGATCATCGAAGCCTTGGCCGATGACGTTGAAGCGGACATTGAGAGCGACGACTTGGAAACGCACAGCGCCGCCGCTCGCCATGCCCCACAGGCACCAACGAAAGGTGTCCCGGACATTGCCGTGCCACCACCAAGCCCTGCTCCTGCCCCACAAGCGGCAGCTCCTCGTGTCCCGCCAGCGGCGGCCCCTCGTCATAAGCATCCGGTTGCTGCTGAGCCCGAGGTAAACACATGACATGCCTAGCCAGCTCTGCGGGTCCTATACCCGCCGGCGATTCGGTTTGTGCAGCAGCCGCCGACGCAGCATCGCTACAACACTCGACTTCAAGCCAACTCGAACCCGCCGCCTCCGGCACCACCGCCTCAATAAGACATCAACATGTAACCAGCCGATACGTCCACTGGCACAGCCGACACAGCACCCGTGGCTCAACCCCAGTCGGATCCCATAGCCCCAGTTCGTGCACTGCAGCGTGAAACCGCGGACGTCCACACCTATCTCCCTGTGGCTCCCCCCCGCCTCGTGAACAGCTCATGGTGGACACTCCCCCGACCAAGTCTCGGCACACTCAACTCGGCGAACGTAGCACTGCGACGGCTGAGAATTTCACCAACACAGCAGCCGCAGTTTCTACACTCGCTCTTCCTGCCAACGATGACCATCTCTCCGAAGAACCCGACTACAATCCGAGCGATCTCCCACCGCTCGAAGACGACGATGCTCTCGCCGCTTTCGATTTTTGCGGCGCCGTCCACGACATTACTACTCGATCCCTTCCAGCTTCTGGGAGGCGATGAAATGCCCCGGCGGGGAGAAATGGCTCGACGCTTGCAAGGTCGAGTGGAAGAATCTCAACGACATGTAGTGCTTTCGCATCGTTCACGAGCCCCCTGGTCGCGGCGCCTTGTCCAGCCGTAGGATTTTCAAGCGGAAACTGCACCCCGATGGCACCACGGCGCACAAGGCTTGGCTCGTGAACCGCGGCTACCACCAAAAGTATGGCATCAACTACCTCGTGACGTATTCGCTGACGGTCAAGGATGAATCGATGCACATGACCCTCGCCTGAGCGAACGCCAACAACATGGAAGTCCACCACGGCGATGCTACCAACGCATTACCTACGCCGACCTGGACATCCCCCAGCGCATGCGGCCTCCGGACGGCAATGAAGTCGACGGCTCCTACAATCTCCTCGCTGTCAAGGGGACCTACGGCACGCACCAAGGTGGTCTTATGTGGTACCTCTACTGCAAGGACGCTTGGCCTCATGTACGATGTACCATGGACATGGCGACACCGCATCGAGCCTCATCGTCTATTCGGAAGTAAGCTGGGGCGACGACCGCAGCACGGGACGCTCCATGTCTGGTTTTCTCTGGATGCTCGGCGGTGGCCCCATCCCATGCAAGTCGAAGTTCCAAGGCCTGGTCACTCTCTCAACTTCGGAAGCAGAGTCGTTGGCGCCTGCATCGCTGCCCAACACGGTGCCTTTCTCAAAAACTAGGTCCAAGAAATCCTAGGACGGCTCCCCAAGGCTCCATTGTTCTACCTCGACAAACAAAATGCGATCCACTTCGCGTCCAACACTGGCAGTATGCAACGAACCAAGCACCTCGCCATGCGCTTCTACTACTTGCGTGACCTCGTCGAATCGGGCGACGTGGTCCTGCACTACTGCGCCACGAACGTCATCGCCGCCGACATCATGACCAAGCACGTGCCCATGTCCATCATACAAGTCGCGATCGGCATCATGGATATGGGAGGCTGTTCTGTGGCTTACCAATAAGCTACTCACCCACCGGATTGTGGTGCTGCCAAGCCTGTCTTGCCCACCAAGCAACCTCTTGTCTCAACCAAATGCAAATGTTTACGAGCAGATAGATTTTTACTCGATCCAACACAGTAAAATCACTTTTTTTGCCCTTCTCTACACAAGACGCTCCTTGTCCTTTGGCCACCTCTGCACCACATCGCATCAACCATGACAGTTCTACCCTGTCGATGGGTCTTTTATATGAAGCCCAACGGCATATACACGCCTCGTCATCAAAGGCTTTCTGCAACGTGAGGGCGTTGATTGCGATGACATATTTGCGCCTGTCGTATGCCTGGAAGTCCTCTGATTCCATTTCATTATGGTGACCATCTACGACCTCGCGAGACATCAGATGGACGCGAAGATATATCGCCCTTGTAATCGGGACCATGAACCGAGTGGTCTTCATGGAACAGCGGTCTGGCGACCTCGTGTCCAATGTCTCCTGCGGCGAACTCGCCTATCGCCTAAAATGCAGCCTCTACGGCCACAATCAAGCGCCTAACCTATGGTACTGGACCTACGTCGACGACATGGCATCCCAACAGTGCACCTGCCTGCACAAGGACCGCTGTGTTTTCATCAAGTCCGACGCCTCTGGTTTCACCATTGCCAGCCTCTACGTTGTGCCCAGGTAAGTACTTATGACTATGATAGACATCTCGTCACATTATTCTTGCGCCTACTCTCTTCCTCATCCTCGATTTGATGGCTTCCCTCTCTCAACGGTTTGCCATGAAGACCTTGGTGAAGTCTCAGATATATTGGGGTGGCAAGTTGAACGCAACCGAGCCGTCAAGACCATCATCCTACACAAATCTCGCTACGTCGAAGCTATCCTGGACCGTTTCGACATGGTGAACTGCAATGCAGTCCCCATGCCTTTCTACCCATCTTCACTATATCCGCCTCCCACTGCGCGACGACGCCTCACGACTTCGCCTTCATGATCGGCAAGAACTAGCGCTTCGTCGTCGGCAGATTCATGTACTTGGGCATGGACAGAGTGCACAGATCTCGCCTACACTCTCCAACAACTTAGTCAGTTTCTCCACAACCCTGTCCCACGCCATTGGTCCGCCGTCCGGCGTGCCCTCCGCTACCTCAAAGGCACCCGCACCTATGGCATCCGCCTTGGTGGTATCGCCTCCATCGATGACTTCCCTTTCCTATCCGCTTACGTCGACGCGAAGTAAGCTATGTGTGTTGACACTCGACGCTGTATCAGTGGATTTTTCACTCTATTCTTCGGTTCACCCGTGCCGTGGCTCACCAAGAAGCAACCCCTCGTCACCTTGTCCACCACATAAGCTGAATTTGTAGCCGTCGCCTTATGCATTCAAAAACTACTCTATCTATGTCAACTCGCCTCCGAACTCAAGTAAACGTCCGACCAATCCGTCCTAGACCATGAAGACAATCACCCGACCATCAAGATCGCCACTAACGCCGAGCTTCACGGCCGTTCAAAACATATCTACGTCCGCTACATGTTTGTGTGTGACCTCGTCAACTCTGGCGAATTCCAGCTCAAGTGATTGATCACCCAATCACGGCTCTAGCACAAGGAAAAGAGCACTGATTCTCACATGCTAGTGTTTCCCTTTGACTGAGGTTTAGCCAATAAGAACGAAGCTAGGTAGTCTGTAAACGACTGAATCTCATTTTCCGTTTTCCCCTGTCCTGCAGACTTGGTTTGTCTTGGACACTCTGCGCAAAGTTGCACACGCCTAAGACCTACGGCTACCTCCTGTTTCCTACATCGTGACAATTTGGGAATGCACCAACGAAGCACAACAGACGTCTAGTTCATGACACGTTACATTTCACCAATTCAATCTCATCGGCATGAACATACAAAACAAGCAACGGAACCAGGCACAAAACGGAGCTGTTATCATTGCAAATACAGATGTCGAGGGCAATGAGTTCGAGAAACTTGCAAAGCAATTCTCCTCGAACTTCTCAGCACGACCTAGTGACAGCGAAGGGTATATACAACACAGGTAGTATATTATTACTACGTTGTACTACCTCTGTCCGGAAACATTTGCATGATTCCGAAAACTTGAAGTTCGTCTAATAATTGCACGACTAGTTCCATGGCCTCGACGTCGAGTTGTGAGTAAACGTCACCCATCTCTAACAACGCAGCCACTTCAACAGCGAGTTCAGTCACCTTACCTTCGACATCAATTGCCTTCAGGAGCTTGAGCCCTGACTCAATGACGTCCTTCTCCACGACAACCACTTCAGGGAGCAAGCGCAGCCTTCCTTCGTACGAGGAATACGGTAATTGTTGTAATCTGATATCTTGCTTGCAAGCTTGTAGCGTCAAAATGTTGGAGTTCTACGTTTCCTTGTGGACATCAAGCCAAGCAGCCTCCGTGGCAGCAATGATGTCGTCAACACGCCGCGAATAGTTCTTCTCCTGGATCGCTTGGATGGTAGTACGGAAGAACCCAAGGTCTAACAGGTTGAGGTCGGACGAATTGGGCGGCTGACAGACAAGTTGCACGTTCCAATCGTCACTGGTACAAGCAGCCACAACCTTTGTGTCCGATGGGGGGACATGGAGGCGCGCGTTGTCCTGTTGGATGTACATCAGGTCCCTGCTATCTCCTCCCCAGTTTGCTTTGATAGCAGGAATCACTTGGTCAATCAGCATATTCTTGTAGATTGAGCACGTTACACTGACGCGCTTGGTCTCAAGGGCACCGGCTGGCTGATTGCACCATCCGCGCTGAGCGGGCACGTTCCGTGAAGTGCCACGTGCCGTATCTTTCCGTCGAACCAAGACTGCGACCGTTCGTCAAAACACAGCCGTACGACAGTGGACAGAAACGTCGCCTTGGTGATAAACCGTTTTGACTTACCAGTGCGATGGGGTGGTGTTTCGTCAAGTGCCAGGTACTACGTGTTCTTGACTTTCGTACCAAAGAACCACTTCTCGTGCACATGAGCAACGTTCGTCATGCCCTCAAAGCTGAATAGGTCAGCGTTCGTTGCATGGACATGCTGCAAGCTTAAAAAAATGCCGCGCTTGTAGTAGTCGTGCAGCGTTGAGCGCGACAGGTCCAAAGCTGCCGCAATACAGCGAAACGTAGTGCGCCTCGCTTTTTGCACTGCACTCAAGCACTCACCTATCGGTTCCTGTTTCAGCTTACCTTCATAACTTTCTTTCCGGTAGGACGCTACATCACCGCACGGACGACGTGCGTCATGCAGCATGACATTGGGTCGCTTCCAGACCCGACTGACAGTGGCTCGGGTTACACCGAATAGAACGGCCACGTCTTGTAACGCCCCATATTGTAGTGACTTGTGGTCCGCCAGGCGTATTTGGAGCTGTTGTAGCGTAGCACGCACTCCTTCCTCTCCATGTTTGTCAGGTTGTCTTGGCGCCCATGTTGGTGAACATCAGCATTATCCGGGAAAAAGTCGTAACCGGAATGCTGGATACGAATGTTGAGTCAAAATCGATGCAAGTCGTAAAATCATTTTTCGGACTTTAAACTTCGGATGTGTAAAGAACCGAACTTCGGTTAAGCCGGAAATTTAACGGTATGAGCTGGGAAAATCAATTTCCCAACCGACTTAGAGCGACAAGTCGAAATAAGCCCGTGGGTTGGTGTTCAATCAACGATGGGGCGAAAGCACAAGAAACAAATATTGTGGACCGATGAGATGGATGAGAGACATCTCAAGGAGGTTGTCCGGCTTGGCCTGAACGGTGTTGGTCATGGAAAGGCCAATGCAACGTGGGCAAATAGCACTTATGCCCACGGTGCAGTGGCCATTCTGGACGCACCTGCCAGACAAGGTGCGACCCCATTCTCTACGAGTCGTTATACTTGATTGCATATTCGATATGGGTATGCGGTCATGCTGCCTCAGTAGAGTTCAAAGTTTAAATTCGAGTGAGGTTAGCGAAGCTCCCTGTACAGTGACTGTCAGTAAAAGTCGACGAAAGTAGCACTACCATCATTAGGGGACTTTATATGTAAAGTGGGAGTTCACATTCTTGCCACATAAATTTTGCTGAAAACCACAGAACAGACGCCACCTGTCAACTCATGTGGTGAGGTGGAATCTCGAGTGATGCGCTGTGCACCAAGGTACTTAACAAGGGAATTGTATTACATCTGAATTGTCAACTCATGTGGTGAGGTAGAATCTCGGTGATGCGACTGCGCATCAAGGTACTTAAAAAGGGAATTGTATTACATCTGAATTGTTGGCATACACTGCGTAGCCCGGGGTAATCAATAATCGGATGGTGGCAAGGGATACCCAGTAAAAGAAACGTTCATACGATAGGAATGAACGTACATGTACAGTGACTGTACATGTCCATAACTGTTGTCGGCGAAATAATGGTCCCGCCGAAAGGCAACTTCAACGACACCGTATATTTGGTGTTGTTGAATTTTCCTCAAATACTGTGCTTTGATTGGCCATTTTCCTTTCGTATACAATTTGGAAGATGAGTTAAGATGTACTAGTAGCCCACCAGATAGAGAGTGAACTTAACCTCTAATTTACTTCTGAATTGACCTTGTTAGTGTCAAGCGTGTTTGTTCCAAGGCTGGAGCGACAACAATAACTCAGGCTGTAGAGTGAATCTGAGGCAGCACAATAGCTCGTTCAACTGGTCAGAGGTAGTTCTGTAATGTAATATATATGTGAAGTGTATGTGTGCCCCGGAAGTGCTCAAAATGAATGGCTCCAAGGGGCCACAAGAATTATGCCGATAACTCAGGCTGTAGGGTGAATATGTGGCAGCACAATGGCTCGTTGCGCTGGCCAGAGGCAGTTCTGTATGTAGTATGTGTGCGGAGGATATGCGTGCCGGAAGTAAGCAAGCTACAGTATATGTGTACCCCGCGAGTAGCTGAATAATTATGGAGAATCAATTACTCTTGGTTGCTTTGTACTTAGTTGCTCGCAGTTTGTGAAACGCCCAGGTAGTATTTTATAATTTGCTACAGCGAAAGTATACAATATTGCAATAGTATGAAGTTCATTTGGGAACGTTGGTTGTACGGTTTTGTACCACAAAAACCCACATGAAACTTAACGTAACTTTTTTAGTAACTGTTAGGTAGTTTTTTACAATTTGCTACTCCAAGAGTATACTAATCTTCAATGTAACGATCGAACTATCCTAAACTTATCGAAACGAGGACAGCATATTTTGGCCAAAAAGCCTTGACACTACTAAGTGTATATTCGAGTGAGCGTTGAGAACAATAAACAGCGTGCTAGAGTGTGCTAGGCAATTTGGCTTGGGTGATATTACAAGTCGAATATTGTGAGGTGAAGGGGGGATGCATAAGGGCTGAGGAGGTGCAGGAGTTGTAGTCGCTAGTATTCTGGCGATCTACATACACTATAAGCTAGTCATGATGTCGTGAATGGTGGCTCTAACCTCGTAGAATGGTGCTTGTGTGCTTTCACATGTCGATAAGACAAGCAGAAGCGTTGTGGAGGGGACATAATGCCGTGGGGGGTTGGTTATAAACGATGTAGGGGTTGCAATCGATACAGCTTTAGCGATTTACATGCACTATGAGCTAGACGCGCTTAGTGACTGAATGAAACCTCTACTTTCTGATGTAGATTCACCACGGCTCTTACCCAAATTGCTAGCGTTTACACGAATAACTTGTCGTTGAGCTCCACACACAGCTGTACGTTTTACTTTTAACTTTCACACAAAGTCACATTGCACACACATAACGCATACTAGTACAAAGGAATATCAAAGGGCTACATCAAATTGCTAGCTCAACTGCTGGCATGATTCTGGACTCTCGAATGAGTATTGCCTTACTAGCAGAAATGGATTTGCCCGTCGTTGATGCGAGCAACAACGACGGGCAAATCCTCTACTATACTGTATCAGCTCTTCCCCTTATCATTCTATTAGTTGTGAATAAGGCATCTGCAAAGCAAGGCTAGTTACTTTAGTACTTCGAAGTACTGTACATCAGTCAGGCAATACGAGGCCACGTGCTCCTGTTCAACCCTACCCGGTATCATCTTCCAGAAATACTGCGTGTTCATTGAATTAATATTACTAGTACTTGAAGTACTTCAAGTATAATTTATGGCCAACCACACATTTCAATGTCGTCATTCTTCAATTTGCCACCTCATACACACTGCTCAGTGGGTCCGTGGGTATGTAAATAATCGATCCCCTTGCGGATTCAGCCATCCGTTAGTACCGCTAGCAAGGTTCATTCTATATCTAGGCACTACATAAATCACGACTATAGAAGATGTCTTACAGAAGCAGCACGAAGCACGATATACGTGGAACTTTGGCGGCTTGTGGCGTAGGCTGGTTGCTGTGGGAGTCTGGTT